GATGGCCAGAAATAAAAGCCTGTCCTGAATTCTCCCATTCTGAAAGAAGGCAGCATTGAGCATAATATCTGAAAGAGCAGTCTGATGGAAATGAGCACCGCCGCGTGTTTTTCTGGCCTAGAAAACTGTGTGCAGTATGTCAAGGCTTGGCGCATGGCAGAAGGTCAGAGCCAATTCTGAGAACTCAGTAACAATAGAGAGTCATCACTGGACACAGGTGCTTCCTGAATTGATCTCGCAATTTGGCTGTTTCCAATTAAATGTGAAGCAGCTGTGGCCCTTTATCTGCTCGACTCACTGGAATCCATCTAAAGGGAAACTTTCTCCCATCTCCTCCTCTCCCCACCCCAAGCAGACAGCCCTGCTCTCTGAAGAAAGAGAGGGGCAGGGACAGCCAATTGGCAGAAACCCCACTATTAAAAGTTACCCTTTTTCATCTCAGGGCAAAGCAATGAGATACTGATTCAGCTGTTCATTTTCCACTGCCTTTATTTGGGGACAACAAAGACAGCCAACAGAATAAGAAGAAAATATGAATGCTGTTGAAGGTTGTCAGGCAAACAGATTCAGGATGCTTTCCCTCAGGCAACAAAATAAACAAATGAAGCCACTGTGGGGGTAAGTTCTGAAGTGTTTACAGCATTGTTGTGCATGCTGAGCACAACAGAGTCCTTTACAGAAAGGGATGGAGCTTTAAAGAAGATATTTCCAATAGTCATATAGTGGGATTCTAGAAGGGGCTCAGAAAAGTCAGCACAGAGCCACCAGGCAGATCAACAGGAGCTAGCAGAGTTCAGAAATACAGTAGGTGCTGGCGTAGCTCCTGGATAGCTCTACACTGGTTAAATTTACTTTACATGAACTTTTCTTTGCCAGTCCATTGATTCTGGAGCCACCAAAACCCTCCATGTCTTAGCTCTCTCTTCTAGACTGCTAAGGCCTCACTTTACTTTTCTCGTTAAGAAAGGAAGAGCTTGGATCAAATTTGTGGTTGTCAGCAGACAACAGAAAAGTGAGACTCGAAGCGATCACTTTGGTTGTCTCAAAGAGGAGCCCTGTAACAACCTGTGCTTGGCATCTTGGATGGGGAGCGTGACCAGGCCTCGAGAGAGGCTGACGGGGACTGGGCGTTGCCAAGGCCACAGCGACTGCGCCCAGGCCCTCTGCCGAGAAAAAGGGGAAAAAAATAAAAAAAAAAAAGGCTGTGGCGACCCAGACCCTGCCCACCAGGGTGGCGGCTGTTCAAGCCTCTGGCTGCAGGGAGCGCCTGAGCCTGCCGCTGCCGGGGGGAGGGCAGCAGGGAGACTGCCTGCCCCCAGGGGGAGAGGCTGCTCAAATGGTGGCTGAGCACAGGGAGGAGGAGGAGAGAGTGAGGGGCATCAGGGTGTGTGAGCAGGACACTGCCTGGTGGAGTAACCCCCTGGTGTGCCAGGGAGAAGGGCACCGGGGGGATGCTCCCAGAGGGTGGTGGAGCCCCTGCCCTGTCACTGTTGGACGGAGGGAGGAGGCTGTCAGGGGGATTAGGCTGAATGATCTTCCAAGGTCCCTTTCAATCTCTAACATTCCGTGATCTAAAAGAATGATTTATATATTTTCCCCAAGATAGTATTGCTAGTAACTAGGATGCAGCGCTGGTATTCTGCTAAAGGTACTTTCATTGCTGCAAATAGGCTTCTGACTTAATCTTTCTCAGGTTATCCAGCAACTTAACTGTCCTGATAGCCAACATATTCAGCCAAAACCCCTCTTAGTTTCAATATGATCTACCTCCAAAAGTTCCTGTGTGCCAGCTCAAATCATTCCTCTTGGCCCTTCTGGGCACAATCTGTGCACAAAAATCCTGTTTTGAATTCTCCCTCAGCCAAAACATAACCATACAGCTGCTTCTTTTTTTTTTTTTTTTTTTTTTTTCCAATCCTTGCATTTTTTCCATGTGCTGTCCACACTCCCCCAATTCTCTCCACTGGAGTCCAGCTGATCTTCCCTGCACAGTATCCAATTTTTCAATTGTCAGTGCCAGAATGCAATGAAGTAGGCCTGACTCCCTTATACAACTTACTTGGAATTAAAGCAGAAACATCCCTTTGGGTTTAAGCAGAGGAGAGAAAGACTTCCTCTTTCATGTATGATTCTACAAGAATGAAGACCAAAACACCTGCATCTCTATGATCCATATTGTAAGCAGCTCCATTTTTTTTGAGCTTCTACTTGTTTATTGTATGTGTACACATGCTTAGTATAGCCACTACTACAAAACAGTTCCTCTTGTGGGCCTTTCTAGCTGTTTTCAAATGTTTTTATTTCATCTTTTAAAAAGGAAGGAGAGAAAGAAAGAAACAAACAAAAAAACAGAAGCCCAGGCAAAGATGCAAGTTTCCATAAGACTCTTAATAACAACATAAGACCAGAATTACACCAATTAACTGGTCATGCTTTCAGAATATGCTGTCAAATTTTGTCATTACTCCGCTTGATTAGATTATTTTGCATCTCACCCAGAAAATGTTAAATGCAGGCTACTCTAAGATGCATCTGCTACAGCATAGTTTGCAGCATCCTCCTCTATTCTAAGATGTAGCTCCAAGCACTTCTGATGGATGCAGCCCCAGCTGTAGGACAGTGAAAACTGTCCTGACATGCTAGTCTGGGAGTCTTTTTTAATTAAAAGCAGCAAGATGTTTCCCTGACATATATTTAAATTCTATTTATTTAAACTTTCTATAATCTTCTACGGTTTCTGCACCATGCAATTTAGTAGCAACCCTGTATTTCTTTACCATGCTACCATGCCATTTGTCTTTCTTTCTGTATTCTCATTCAAGACAGACTGATCTACATGGATCATCGGTCAATAGGTACACATACAGGTTCATCAAGAGCATCTAATCTTTATGGAATACAGCCATATGCCCTCCCTCAACTCAGTCCAGTACATGTGCACATGAACACACCCAATACATGCACATCAGTATTGTATATATGTTGATATATACAATATGCATCAATATAAGTTTTGTTCACTGTTGAGGACAGACACCACCAGAATTAGGGCCCTAGTCCAGACAAAGGGACCAACCTGCCAAATGCTCTGCTCTGGATCCGGATACAGAAGCTACCATCTGTAGGATAATTCAATTGAGGACATATGCATTATTCTAGGCAGCAGCCCAAGTCCTCTTGCCTTCAAGTACGTTTTCCCCAGGGACTGACAATTTTAGGCAAGACATCATGAACAAGAGATGCTGCTGCCAAGGTTGGGGAATGGATACATGGAGGTACCCCACATTGCCAGTAGGTCAATATTAAGTAGTAGCATTGTTTCATGTTTCCTGCCACACCATGTTACTTCAAGCCTGTGATGACTTAATAAAGACATATCTCAACACCATAAAGAGCTAAGATGGTTCCTGGATATCTCCCACGCTACTGTATCTTTCTCTTAAAGATTTGCTAACAGCCAATAAATTAATAGTTTCAAAATTTCCAATTGAAATACTTTCCACGGGAAGCTGATACTTTCAACTAAATGAAAATTGCTATGGAAAGTGCCTGCTTCTCTGAAAGGAAAGTTTCTCTGTCAGAAATGTAGGAAATATATTCCTGCAGAAACTGCAAAACTCAGCTGTTTTGGTATTGCTTGTTTGGGCTTTCTGTCACATTGTATTTTTAGACACAGGCATTTTGGTTAATTTTAGCCAAAATTTCCAGCTTCAGTCAGTTACAGAATTTACTGCTCTTCACAGTGTCACATTGATGTTTCTCTTTGTCACAAGTGCTTCTTTAAATCTCCTCTGAGTATATGCACTGCATTGTGTATGATGATTTTTTCTTCCTCTTCTCCCCCCATTGTTACTTAAGACTGGACTTTAATGGCTCAACATATTCCAAGAAGCATTTAGGATAAATGCTCTGTCAAAGACACTTATGTACACTTGAGCCATATTGTGTTCCGTATGAATCATCACAAGTATTTCACAAACAAGGGTGAATCAGACAGAATTTCCAAGTATATTAAATATAGCTTTTTCAGATGTGGTCTCCTAGCCCCACAATTAATCCTCCATACTGAAACTCATCTCATATTTGGACCATGTCATGTCTGCCCCACCAGGGACAGGCGCATGCTCCTAAGACTTTCTCCTAAGGAGGATAACAATCCTATAATGGAGCAATCTCAGCCAATTTTTGTCTGCGGGATGCAAGGGAAAGGTTAACTTTGCAAACTTAAATGGTATCTCACCACTCCTTCCAGTTTTATTTTCTGAGATATTTGTAGACCTCAAGCAGAAAGAGACCTCATCTAAATCTCCAAGAAAGAGAAGTCTAGGGTAAGAAGGAAATGTTTCACTGCTTGAAGACAATTTCGTGACATATTTTAGCTTATACTAACAAAGATAGCCCAGAGCACAGTAATCAATCTTCCTTGCCTGCTTTACACTTGATCAGATGGATGGAGACGCTTGGGGAATATCCAGTTGTTTTTTACCTACTCAGCACACTTTCCAGACTGTGTAAGATGCATCTGCTACATCACATCTGGTCCTTCAGGCAAAATTGAAATCCCACCTGAAGAAAAGCAGCCTTACAGAGAGGCCTGAAAAATGAAGCTGGTGGCACTTTACTGCTCTGCAATGGAGGGGCAACCAAAAGCCCATGGAGAGAAAAATTCAAAGCAACTACACAGGAAAATGACCAGAACAATTTTTCTGGAAAACGGGAAGAAATTGTGGTGCCTCTGATCTAGTAGTTTTAAGCAGCTGTGATATGAATAAAGTTCACAAGTGAAAAAAACAGCCACTGAAGCTCCCTGTGTTTCCAAACTCATGCCACGGATGCTTTACAATGCACTGTTTGTCTGGAACTTGCGTGGGAAAGGGAGGTACCTCACGCCCTCATCCACCTCCTGTACTAATGCAATAATTTTGCTTAGTCACAGAAAAAGGGAGAGAAAAAAAAGAAGAGGAAAGAAAGTGATTAATAATCTGCAGGCAGCTGCTTACTTTCCAATTGGTTGTCCAGGAGGGGTGTGCTCCACTTCAAATCCTGCTTGTCTCAGTACATCAATCACAGTGTTGTTACCCAGGAAGTGACCTAAAATACAGGTAGAAAATAGCACTGTCAATTAAACTGCTCCTCTCACTCATTTGACTTTCTCCTTTTGCAACAACAGGTTTGGGAGGTAAGGTTACCAGAAGCTAGGCGAGCTCTAAAAGCAAGAAAGGCACATTATGCAATTTGTTGGAGTTGTCTCAACTATTCACCACTTAGCCCACTGCAGCCTTTGGCAATGAGAAGGGGAACAGACAGCATACAACCTGATACGATCTTCTGTCTTATTTACCCCTCCCAACCCTCACATGATCAAGGGACTGGGCGTATAAACCCAAACCTTTATGTGTTCTTTTTTAATAGTGCTTGATTTGTCCAGGAATCTGCAAATTGCTACCATGGAAATTTTTATTATGTGCATGGACTAAAGGTCCTTCTAACGTGGATATCCAAGTGACCCTACAGTGGTGAAAAGAATATTATTTGGGCATTGACTCATGAACTGGAACAATTTACAGCCCCAGATGTCCACCCTGCCCATCATCATTCATGGACATCTGCTTATGAAGAAGCTCTGAAGCTGCTGCACTCCGTGCTCATCTACCTCAAATGGCTGCGGTTCAGAAATTGCTTCATCAACCACTCCGCCACCTGCACGGCAGGGCTGGGAGGAGCTGGGATGGTAACCTTATCTTTTCCCAAATGTGAAGATTTAGTCCTGTAAACCAGTGCACTTTGCTACAAGTGTAAAGGTCGCATTCCTATTCACAGAAGTAACAAAGAGCCCAGTAAGTATTGCAGCATGTATGGGCCTTGAAAGAGTTTACTTAAGGGAATCCTATACACTTGAGGTCTGAACCAAATCCTGCTGGAGTCAATGGGAATCCTCAAAGGGCTTTGGGTACAGACTCAATAAGGCAATGTAATCCCTCCAAAGCTTTCAACTTATTGTCAGAATTCCACATTGTACCTCGAACCCATCCTGAAAACAAAAGTAAGGACACAAGATCTCCACTAACAGGTTACACTGAAGTCCACGTAGCCCCCTCACCTGTCTCCAACTGTGGCCCATGGTAAATTTTAAATATGTATAAATATATAAATGAAAGAGAGATAGAAAGGATAGAACAATCCTCCCCCATTGTGTCCTTTAGCTTCTCTCTCTGCATGGCTGGGTGACCCCCATTTACACCCAGGTCATCACGTCTCGCTGCCAGCTCTGAATAGAGCAATTCACCATGAATGTGCTCAGGCCTCTGTCTCTGTCTACTTTTTGCCCCATGACATCTTGCAGCAGTGAGTTTTACTGCATGCAAAAGTGCACTCCTCTGGCTTGTTTCAAGCTTGCTGTTTAGAGAGTGTGTGTTTGCCTTACGAATGGAGTATGTGCCTTCAGAAGATGCCAGACTACCTATCTCCACTGCAGAATCAAACATGTTTCTCAAAAAAAAATAATAATAAAAAAATAAGGCAGGTGGGACATACCCAAGTCTCTCCCCATTCATGCCACTATGTAAGGAGTTGATGCAACCGTGAGCAGCCAGCCCTAGGATACTTCACCAATGCTGCATAAAGTTGCTATGAATTTGAGAGTAATTCAGTCTCCAGTATTCCTTAAGCCTGCGTCTCTCTGCTTACACTGCCAACAAGGGCGCTAATTCGCATCAGTTGTGAGAATGATGTAGTTGTATGGCTTTTAGTGCAACTTGCAAGCAGTGGTAAGAGCTTTTTAGCCAAAAGACGTTTCTTTAAATGATTAAACGTACATTTGCAGAGCCCTAACGTGTTCCAGGATTCCTCCACTTCCTTTTAAGAAAACTCAAAATTTGATTTTCCCCTAACTTACTTATAACAAAAGCCAAAGGAGTAGAGAGCAGTCCCAAAAACGTGTTACATACCCTCAGAGATTTGAGAAACGAGACATTTGTGAGTGATTAACTGGATTTGATCATATCCTGTTTTTTTATGCAGTGGCCAAGGCAAACAATGGCCCCGATTCTGACACTGGCAAAGTGACACTGAGGAATCAAAGTCAAAAGTGTCAAGGTCAGAGATGTTTCTGTGTCCATGCTCACTGTAGTAGAGCTCTACTTTCCCTGAACCAGTCCTAAATGCCAAGAGATTTCCTAATGGAAAAAAATACTGTCCTGGATCCAGCAAATCTTTGACGTTATAACAGTACAAAAGAATCCAATTTTAACTGCTTTAAGCCCAGAAAAAAGCTCTGATTCCTCGTCCACAAAATGGCAGGCCTGTCAGGAATGTCAGCTCCTGAGCAAAGCCTGCGAATACCTTCCAAGCAATGGATGAGGACCAAAAGGTGATATCTCCTGGCTTTCCTTTCCTGCCTTCTCTGTTGAGACCATGACAAAAGCTGATAACCCTCTTGGCCTGGCGACCTGCTGTGCACGACAGCAGAGGAGAACATGGACTGTCCAGCAGCACTTTTTTCACTCTGGTTCTGGATGCACGCAGAATTTCACTTTTGGCCATATGGCAGCAAAGCCCCACAATGCTCCAGAACTGGAACAGCTCATGATAACAATATTTATTATGCAGACACCTGTTCAACAAGACTTATCTCAATATAGCAGCCATCAGTTCCAAATGCAGCTCATTGCCGAAACAAGATGGACCAGAAAGGGAAGCGCATTCAGCATGAATTAGGTCAGCAAAAAACATCAAGTCCCTGCCTCTGGCTGCCAACATGTGCAAACAAATATGTAATAATTGCCAGATTATTTTTTTTATATATATAAAAAAGGATGAAAAATCCTCAGCAGTGGATTTTATTTATATAAACACACATGTACTCACACTGTTCTTCATATGTGTATATGCACATGTGCACGTGCATGCATATATCTGCTTCTGCTGAAAACTTTAAAGATTTCTCTGCCAGGCCAGGAAATTTCATTCCAAAAGGCAAAAGTCTCACCACACACAAACAAGTAAAAACTATTGAAAAGTTTGTTCATCCAGAGGTAGATCAGATAACTTAAAGACACAGAGGAATGCTCTTGCTGCTGCATCACTATTCCCTCTTCATTCTAAACCTGGATAAAATACTCCTGCAGTATTAACCAAATTTACCATGACAGCTGATGAAAACTGTATCCAAGAGGTCAGAACACCAACTACCTTGGGAATTCCATGCAAGTATGGAAGTAGGGGAGGAAGTGAGAAAGCAGACAGAAAAGATTTTCTAGATAGGGACTTGATGTGAAAGTCTGTACCCGAGTAGAGCCTCTCCTAACAGCTTAAGTTTAATAAATAATTCCTGCAAATAAAATGCAATATTGTGACATCAGTCCGTTACATGTTTGTGCTTAGGAAATTCATGATGATACCAGGCAAACTGCGCAAGTGTTCAATGAATTCTTAAGTAAAACTTAAGTAAAATATTGGAACACAATATGTATATACACACACACATTTTAAATTTACTCTGTTACTGGCTCCAGCTTATCAAGAAAGGTGTGAATGCAGTCCTTCTGCCCTCTAAGGATAAGGAAACACTCCTGAGACTTACTTGAGGACAAGGCCCAGTGCTGAATAGACATTTCAGAGTTTGAACAGAAATGCAGAGGACTGGCTGGAGCGTCTCACTGCACACAGTGGGAGTTTCTAGGTTAAATTTGATGAGGACAAGATTTTTGTCCTGTCTCTTGCACCTTGTTTTTCTCAGACAGAGGATCTAAGACTGGAAACACTGGAAGAACATGTTATACAGCATGGCTGCTAACATTAATCAAACATCTTCCATCCCTGTTTTTTCTTTTTAATTAAGAACCGTGTTTTGAACTACACAAAGCAGATGCACGTAACGTGTTTCCTTATCTCCCCAAGGTTTCATTTTTCACTGGTAGAAAGAAAGAATAAGCAACTTTGTTTTTTATGAAGAGGTTAAAAAAAAAAAAAAAACACACAAACAAACCATGCATGGTTTCCTTAAAACACGTATACACGCTTCTGAAAAGGCACATTTTCTTCCTTTCTTAGTGGAATATGCTGGGCAAAAGGGGGGTGGGGAGAAAAATAGACTTCTCAGCCACCTCTTAACAGTCACAGTTATGCATTTTCTAATTGACCGTAGAAACTAAAGCTCTCCTTTACCATCACAGACATCTTGGTGACCCCATCAATAGCATATCCAAGCACAAGATTGCATCCCTCAAAAGTTAAATGAGCTTGGGTGTTCCTACACATAAAAATACAAATTTGTTTTGATGGCAGAAGCAGGAAAATGTTTCTAAGCAAACGTTATGTACTTTATCTAGGTTTAGAGATCTACTACAAATTACTTCGTCTCTTCGTTTCACGATTCTTTGTTCCATAGCTTAGCAGGATAAAGGGGTACAAAGGAGCAGGAGATAATTCCCTCACAAAGGACCTCCATTGCCAGAGCCTTTGAAGTTGTGCTAAAAAAGCCTTGCTAGCCCATTAGCTGACACACAGCAGAAACCTGAACTGTTTCCATGCACACTACAAGCAGAGCTATTTTCTGCACAATTAGTCATAAAAAGGGCCAATGTAAACTGTGTCGGGAGGTCTCAATTCTTTACATTCTCCACACAGTGAATCAGACGTTATGTATAACGTTTTGTTGCCATTTAGACCTCAGGCTGCTTTGCAATCAGGAGGCAGCAGTCTCTATTCCTGTTTCTCTCTTAATGCTGATTTTCAAGGCTCTTGGCACCACCGGCGTGTTTATGGCAGTTAAACTTCACAAGAATTAGTGCGGGCAAAATGCAAATGCCAGAAGCTGCACATTCACAACTGGGGCAAATATTTACTTGTTCCTTTGCGTGTTGCCTCTAGAAGCATGCCGTTTCTCTTACTCTGCGATGGTCCAACCAAATATTCTGGGAGGTTGAGTGATGAACACGTCAGGAGGAGGCTGCGGCAAGGAGCTGCAGCAAACAGTTCAGGCAGTGAATTTTGTCTGGATTTGCCATACGGTGTTTGACTCTACACCAATGGTCACTGGATAACGACACGAATTTCCTGGGGGAGCCACGTTACTATTTCCTGCCATTGCA